GAGGGTGGGGGCAGGGCAGCTCTCAGCAGGCGCAGTCCTGGTGCGGAGGCGCCTGCTGGTCCGTGAGCTGTGGGCCCTGCTTGGCACCCGTGACTGCAGGGTCGGCCGTGTCCAATGACTCGGACATCTTCTCACAGATGACGTCCACCAGGCGCTCAAAGGTCTGCTTGACATTAATGTTGTCCTTGGCGCTTGCCTCAAAGAACTCAAAGCCTGTGGTTTGGGAAGGGAGGGGTGAGGACCCTGGTCTTCTGCCTCCCAGAGCCCCTTCTCTGAGGGCAGGGAACATCTGGAGATCCCCAGTGCCGACCACCTGTCAAAGGCACCAACAAGCCCTCTAGGGAAGCAACACTAGGCCGGGTGGGCCCTGTTGCTTGTATTCCTTCCCGCACCCTCAGACGGTCCCTTCTGGTCTCCAGGCCCCTGGCAAGACCTACTTCCTTGCTCCCGCCAGCCGACCCAGCCTGTGCACTGACCCTGGCAGCATCTGACATTCCCATCCGCCCGTGCCCTCCCCCGCTTATGTACCCTCTGGCTCCCTGCGGCCTCTCCGGAGGATCCGTGTGGTTCGGACCCTGCACGATCGGCCACGTTTCCTCCAAGTGGCCCCCGTGGCCCCGCCGTGTGAAATGACTCGCCAAAACACCCCCGATCTCCCCCACCTGTGGCCTTTGCCTAAGTTGTTCCCTCTGCCCGAGAGAGCACCCTCTGCTCAAGCACCAGATCCAGTGCCTTCCCCCAGGTCTTCCCTACTCCAGGCAGAGCTTGCCCCCCTCCCCAGGCACTCCCCCAGCCCAGCCCCCCGTAAAATGAGGTCCTTCAGGCCCAGCAACCCGACAGGAGGCCGGGCAGCGAGGGGATCCGAATGAATCAGTAACTCCCTGCCTGGTGAACTCCTATGCATCCATCAAGGTCCATCTCACGGCTCCTGGATCAGGGCCATTTGCAGAAAGCGTGAATTGTCTGCATTCAAATCCAGGCCCTGTCCTGGCTCTGCCGTGAGATCTTGGACGCGTCCCCTCCCTTTCAGGGCCTCGCTGTCGCTTTCCTAGCCTGGAGGTGTGCGGCCCCACGAGGCACTCACCAAGGTGGTCAGCCAACTGCCGGCCACGTTCCGACGACACCACCCGTTCATCTTCCATGTCACACTTGTTCCCCACCAGCAGCACCTGGGCATTGTCCCATGAGTAGGTCTTGATCTGGGTCGACCTGGAGGAGGCGGTGACAGGTGGGGTCAGGGCTGGGAGGATCCTGCCTCCAGCGTCCTTTTGTCTCCTCCCTCCCTCACCCCACTCTAGTCCCCCACCTCCTGATTATTCCTTGAACTTGGCAGACTTGGTCCCTCCTTCCAGCCTGTGTCCTGCCAGGAACACGCTTCTGAGGCTCCCAGACCTTCGAAACCCCTTTCAAGCAGCCCTCCTTCCCAGATCCCTGTCCCCCAGAGAGAATTTCTCCCTTCTCTGCAAACTCAGAAATTTCCTTAAAACTTAGCATTACTTTGGGCAGGAATGTAAACGTTTATATCCTTTCACCTATGAGAACTGTCCTATTCTCTGCCCCCGCCCTGACTTTTTCTCTACATGTTTCATATTTCATTCTTCCATCTGAAATGAAACCCTTTTTTTTCCCCTTAGTTCGAGCCAATGCTACCAAGCTTTAATGATTACAGACTGATGGCAGGTCTGAGAATCTAGTATTCACATTTCTGCCAGGGCAGCTGGGGCTTCGCATCAAACCCAGTTCTGAAGACAGTCTACGAGGGGATGGGGTGTGCTCACCAGTCCTGCACGGCGTTGAAGGACTCCTCGTTGGTAATGTCATACATGAGGATAAAGCCCATGGCACCCCGGTAGTAGGCCGTGGTGATGGTCCGGTATCGCTCTTGCCCTGCTGTGTCCTGGGGAAGAAAAGACAGGGGTCAGAGAGGACCCACACATAAGCTCCTCAGAATGGAAATAAGCCCTGAGGTTGTCCAGCCCAGCCCCCCTGGGGACCAGAGGTGGCTCAGGGAAAGCAGACTGGCCACGTACATCGTGCTCCATCATCCTCCAGAAGCAGGCACCTACAGAATCATTCCATCACTCCTTCAACATACCTGGGCAGTGACCTGTGCCACACCCTGTGCGGGGCACTGGGGGCACAGCCGTTAACAAAATGGACAAAAATCACTGCCTTGTGAAACTGACAACCCGGGATAGGAAACAGACGATAAACACATAAAAAAGAAGAAAACGTATCCTATGTTGGAGGGTGATAAAGACCGAGGAGAAAGAGAAAGTTGGATAAGGAAGGACAGGCAGTGCAGGCGAGGGTATGGTTTTAAAAGCTGAAGGAGGGGCGCCTGGGTGGCGCAGTCGGTTAAGCATCCGACTTCAGCCAGGTCACGATCTCACGGTCCGTGAGTTCGAGCCCCGCGTCGGGCTCTGGGCTGATGGCTCGGAGCCTGGAGCCTGTTTCCGATTCTGTGTCTCCCTCTCTCTCTGCCCCTCCCCCGTTCGTGCTCTGTCTCTGTCTGTCCCATAAATAAATAAAAACGTTGAAAAAAAATTAAAAAAAAAAATAAATAAAAATAAAAGCTGAAGGAAAGGAGGAGGGACCCATGTGGGGATTAAGGGAGAGACAATCCAGGCAAAAGGCACAGCCCAGGCAATGGCCCCGAAGTGGGTCTGTGCCTGGAACATCTGAGGAACAGTAAGGAGGCGGAGGTGGAAGGAGACTGACCAGGCAGGGGCTCCCAGACCGGGGGAGGGGGGTTACTCCTAAGCCAGGGGACAGGTATGGGTTTTACCCTGAGTGAGGTAGGGGCCATGGGAGAGCAAGAAGCAGAGAAGGGAAGGCTCTGACTTGGGATTTAACAGGTTCCCTCAGGCCTCTGTGGGGTTAAGGGAGGTGACCAGTAGACCCCGGGGGAAAGTGCCTGCTCCTGTCCCAGGGAACGAGGTTGGGGGGCCAAGATCCAGCTGAAACCGAATACAGACTCATATGAAAGAGCTTAAAGATGGGGAAACTGAGGCACCAAGCCAAGTGATGCTCTTGACAATAGCAAGGCACAGGAAAGGACCCAGCATTTGCTCCTTCCCCACACCCAGAGAGCAGTGATTAGGCACCCATGGGAGAACAACAGCACTCTATTCTGGGCCTCTGGCTCCCGGATACACAGGAGGCACCTGATAAATGCCCAGTGTGTGAACGAATGAATCCAGACAGGGAACAGACAAAGCTGGGGCTGCTTTTCTGGGAAGGGAAAGCGAGAGACAGGAGCTCCCCAGCTGGACCCACCCAGATCTGCAGCTTGATCCTCTTGTCGTTGCGGTAGATGGTCTTGACCTTGAAGTCTATGCCCACAGTGCTGACAAAAGCAGGCGTGAAGGAATCGTCTGCATAGCGGAATAGGAAAGACGTCTTGCCCACGCTGCTGTTGCCAATGATGAGGATCTTGAACATGTAGTCGAAGTTCTGGTCCGAGGACTCCTTCTGCCCATAGCGTGAGTCTGTGGCGGACGCCATCTGGGTGTGTGGGGTGTAGGTGAGGTTGAGGAGTCCCCTTCCACCACCAACTGCCTAAGCCCCAGGCACAGGGTGCAGAGAACTCCAGAGCTCTTGAGGGGGACTAGTGTTTTGAGATTACCCTTATCTCATTAGAAGCCCCAGTGCTAATGGTGGGGCCGTGGCAAAGGACGGCGGTGACCTTGAAAGGCCGGAAGTGTCAGAGGAGGAGCTCAGAGAGGTGGGGGTAGGGACACCCCAGCAAGCCCCTCCAGCACGCCCTCGGCCCAGGTCCCAGGTCCGACTGTAATCCTAAACCCTAAGGCTAGGCGGGTAGGGGTGACTGCAGCCGGCCCCGCCCCCCATCAATCATTCATGTTCCTCAGAACGGAGCTGCTCGGGCGCACGTGCACACGCGTGTACGATCCCGCGGGGATGCGAGTCGCAGCACCCCCTTCCCATAGACTCCCAAGATAGGAGAGATCGGGCTAAAGCAGCTGGTCATGTGACAGGCACGGGGCGTGCACACGTTCACGTGCACGCAGCAGGGAACACAGCCGTACACGCGTGTGCACATGAGAGTCGAATACACTCGACGCACAGGAAAGAGACGCAGACACTTGTCTGCACACCAACACGCATATACAAATGTGACAAGCCCACCCGTAAGCAGGACGCCCTCCACCCATGCAGGCGTGTACACGTCACCCACGCGGGCACGCATTCCAGTGCACGTATGGACACGGCGTGCACGTACATCACAGTCCATGCGTCTCCTTCCACACGCGTGCAGCACGCACTCACGGGAGTCGGGACACCCACAGGGTCACACGAGCATACCCTGGTACATAAGCAAAAGGGTATGCACACAAACCCGCCGGCACAGGCGGGCGCGCACACGTGTGTTCACACCACGCGCACGCGCACGCACAGAACCTCCCGCGCGCAAAGCTTCCCGCAAGGCACTCGCCTCCCCTCCCCCTCCGCCGCAGAGCCCGAGGGTGGGGGGTGGGGGTGAGATTCCGGCAGGTAGGGGGAACCAGGGCCCTACCCTTACAAGGGCTGTGATCGCCGCACCCTTCTTCCCATTTGACCCTAGCCAACCTCGTCCCCTACCCTGCAAGCCCATCAGTCAAATGAAGGTTATGTAGGTGTTCGCTGAGGCGGCGAACCAGGCCGCCCGGGAACTCACCGTGCCCTGCACCGATGCGGTGGTGACCCTAGCGGTGGCGACTTTTCGGCAGCTGTGGTGACAGGGCCCCCGTGAGTTGATATGGGGCTGCGCGACAGGGGCAGCGGCGGCGGCAGCAGCGGCTCAGGCCCCTGCAGTCCGCGGTGACGTCCTGCAAAGAGTGAGGCGGGGCCTCATATGCAGATGTAGCCGTGACGCCATCCTGGGGCGGAGCCGCGCTTGGAGAAGTAGCCCACTGACGCACACAGAGCCAGGGGGCGGGGCTCCCACGCAGATTAACCCACGAACGGGGCGGGGACCAGTGTGCTCAGCCAATAGTGCGCGGGGGCGGTGCCTACCTGCCCCGCCCCCTCTTTGCGTCATGGAGGCGGGGGCGAGTGGCGTCCTGTCACTGGCTCAAGCTCCGGAGCGACGGACTGAATAGCCGATCAGAGATAATCACCTTTCTGCTCTTGTCCAATAATGGTTCCCATATGGTTGCAGGGATGAGAGGTTGAGGCCTTCCTTTGCTAAGCCTGGGTCTTCAGGGGGCGTTCCCGTTCCCCGCCCCCGCCCCCACCCGCCTTTGGCCTGAGACTTCAGCGGACCGCGACCTCTTGTTAAAAACACTCTATTCCCAATTTCAGAAAAGAGGAGCAGACATCCGAGAGATGTTCCATGTCCCCTATTTATGGGGTTCAAAATAAGTACAAATGAAGAAAAAGCGGAGATAGGGGTCAAGAGAGACCAATTTCCGAGGTGTAAGATCCCCAAAGAGGACCGGGCTGGTAGATGCCCGATCCCGTTTCTGAGATGAAAAAGAAGAAAGAAGAAATAGGGATCAAGAGAACCACTTCCTAGAAAAGAAGGAAGGGGCTGACACTACAGGAACCCCTCCTCTCCCTGCGCCCCACTTTCCGGAGAAAAATTCGAAGACGGTGCTGAAGTGGGGCAGAGAAACGGCCTACCTCCTAAATGCCCAAAGCCTGCATTAAAAAAAAAAAAAAAAAAAAAAAAAAAAAAAAAAAAAAAAAAAAGAAACCAGGAAACAGGGAGGGTCTGAGCGAGGTTCAAATACCCAGCCATAAAGATGGGGCTGGAAGATGCTTTACCCGTGCCTGGTCACTGACTTAGACAGGGGACCCACTCCCTCCATCTGGGGAAAGAAGACTCAAGAGATTGGAGACTTTGGGGGCTGAGCTGCTCACTTATCCTCCCAAATCTTGAGGGGGAAATGTCAGAATTGGAGGGGGGGGCAAGAGAACAAGACCCTTTCCCCCGTTTTGGATCCCTGCCCCTCAACTCCGGTCCCCAGACCCAGCAGGAGGAGCGTGGCCCCAAGAGAATCCTGATTCTTTGATTCCTCCCCGGGCGCTGATGGAGGGGATGGCAGGGGGTGGGTTTCGTCCTGTTTATAAAAAGCTTGCCAGCTGCGGAGGCGCCTAAAGACCAGAATAACTTAGCGCCTAGAGCCGCCCCCCCCTCCCCCGCCCCCTGGAAGTTCGGGGCGTCCCTCGCGTTCCGCTGGCATTTATTTTTATTAAGGGTAACATTTTTGTCCCTCTCCTCCAATCGCACTGTAAAAGTATTACGAACCTACTGCGGAGAGTTGGGAAATTCAGAAAAGCATAAAAAAAATAAACAAAAATAAATTTACCCCCAATCTCCCCCACCCCCAGACCGGCAGTCAGTGGGGCCCCAAGCGCGCTGGGACAGGAACCGGCCCACACCCCCGGCGGAGGTAAGGGCGCGTGAGGCTTCTTGGCTCCCTGACCTCCCAAACGCTTGCTCTGGGCTTTGTACGTGGGTGGCGCTCAGAAATAGCCCACAACACTGTGTACCAGCGTCTGCACAGAATTGTGTTTTCTTTTCTTTTATTTTATTTGTATTTATTTTTATTTTTTCATGTTTATTTCTTTTTGAGAGAGGAAGGGACAGAGCGTGAGCAGGGGAGGGACAGAGAGAGGGAGACACAGAATCCGAAGCAGGCTCTGAGCTGTCGGTGCAGAGCCGCAGGTGGGGCTGGAAACCATGAACCACCAAATCCTGACGTGAGCCGAAGTCGGATGCTTAACCGACTGAGCCACCCAGGCGCCCTGGGAATTTGTATTTTAAAGTAAAAATAATGCAAGGCATTTATTGTTGACGAAGAGCATTCCACTCCAGAATTAGGGATGGTTGAATGGGGGAAATGCTGGACAGCAGGGGAGACCAGACCTGGTGACACAGAGGCCTTAAATCCTCCCAAGTCCCACCCTACTCGGAGTAAACTCTAGACTCCACCCGACAGCCCAGGCCCTCCAGCCAGCTGACTCTCGCCAGCTACCTTCCCGTCTCATCTTTCTCCTCCAGTCAGATATTCCCTCTCGTTCCAGGTGCAACCCTACCTCAGGGCCTTTGCAGCTGCTGTTCCCGCTGCCTGGAGCACACTTCCCCCACCTCCTTCCAAGCCTGGCTCCCTCACCCCCTTCAGATCTCGGATGGACACCCACCTCCCATTTCGGGTCACCTTCCTATCACGTTGCCATATTTCTCCTTCTCCTGACACATCCCCATCAGAAATAATTATTTGACTTGTTTATCCATCAGCCATCTGAGAGTTCTGAGAGACAGGGATTGGTGTCCCCGGCACCTAGACCTGTGGACACAGTAAGTGCCCTGTGATGGTAGGACATGTATGAATGAATGATTGGAGAGAGGCTGCCTTTGGCCACGGAGGCTAGGGAACCTCTCTGAAGAAGTGCCATTTGAGCAGGAACGTGAAGAACAAGCTGTTCCCTCCAGAAAGAGGGAACAGCAAATGTTCACTAAACAAGCTCAAGGGACAGCCTCTTTCCAACTCTCCTTTCCAAGGAGAGGCCCAGGCAACGTCTCCTTAAGAGAAAGGGCAAACTGAGGCCCTGAGAGTCACCCTAGGAGGTCCACAAGGGCCAGAAGTTCCAAGGAGCCCTGAAGCCCTTCTCCAACCTTCCTCTTCAGGTACAGAGTAGGCCACAGAGGCAAAAACTGTGTCCCTTGGTAAGGACCCTAAGCGGGAGAAAGTGGGGGACCTTGAACATGTGAGCAACTTCGCTCACCCCTCTGCAGGCCTCAGTTTCTACATCTGAGAAATGGGAGAAGGAAGAGACAGAGTTAATGTGCACCTCAAGCAGGTAGCTCGGTGCGTGGCTCAGGACACACTCTTCTCAAGCTCAGAGAGGTTAAGAGACTCGAAGTTGTCAATATTCATCTCCAGGGGATACTGAGGATGGTGTGGTGGGCCTGGCCCAGGCCTAGGGGGATCAGGGTGTGGAGACGATGGTGGACATGAATCTAAGAATCCTCGAGAACTTCCACGAGTGCCAGCCTGGGATGGAGGGCCAGGAAGGACCGTGCAGGGGAGGAGACGCTGAGCTGAGACCCAACCAGTGAGAATGAGGGTGGGGGTGAAGCAATCCAGGTGGTTTGGCACGGTATGTGCAAAGGCCCTGAGGTGGGGCCATAACTTGGGGTATGGAAAGCCAGCATGGGTGGAGTGCGGTCAGTAGGAGGGAGAGAGATGCCTGTGACCCAAATTGAAGGGGAACATATGTTCTTATAAATAGGTGGAGAGAAAAAAAACAAAGTAAAAATAAAAATGGGGAAATAAGGTTGAGAGGCTGAAGGCAGATGATCTACAGGAAGGTTATAGCAGAATTTTATTCTCTTTTTTTATGTTTCCATTATTTCCAAATTCTCTACAGTAAACACATATTACTTGTAAGTAAAGGGGGGGAGGGAGAAATAATTATAAATACAAATCCCCTAAATCTCTGCCTTTTATTTATTTTTTTAATTTTTTCTAATGTGTATTCATTTTTGAAAGACAGAGAACGAGCAGGAGAGGGGCAGAGAGAGAGAGAGAGAGAGGGGGAGACACAGAATCCGAAGAAGGCTCCAGGCTGCGAGCTGTCAGCACAGAGCCCGATGCGGGGCTCGAACTCACCAACCGTGAGATCATGACCTGAGCCTAAGTTGGACACTTAACCCACTGAGCCACCCAGGCGCCCCTAAATCTCTGCCTTTCAAAAGTCTGGAAGGAAACGCACCAAGTTCGTGACCCAGATGAATTTTAATTCTCCCTCTGTGGAATTTGATCATTACTTGTGATGAGGATGAATCATATCAGTGGGATGGAATCATCAAGGGAATTATTTAGGAATGAAGCCAGCTGTCCTTGAAGCCAGGGGCTGCTTGATGACTTGTGTCATGTATGATTCTTCAGGCAGGCGACGAGGGGCGGGGCGGGGAGATACTGAGGCTTCTGGAGGCGGGAATCGAACCCGATCCTGGAGCACAGAGCAGGCCCCTTCAGCATGAGCTCGACGTCGCGGGGAGCCGAGAACCGGCGGGTAAGGCGAGGAGAATGCCCGAATTCGCCCCGCCTCCCTTCTGTGCCTCCGTCCACCAGGGGGCGCCGCTGGCTACTGTCCAGCGCCCAACTGCGCGGCCCAGCAGGCCAAACGGCCCTCTTTGCAACCCCGGTTCCCCATCCCTGAGATGGGCGCGGCATTAATTGTGGGTGATAGGTTTATTTAACCCCAGAGACACGTTCAGTGCCCCACGTTTCTAAGATATTTCGGAGAGGTCACGGACACCACCCTCCAACCAAAGTTTACCCAAGTACTAGGATGAGGCCATGGAGGGGAAACTGAGGCCCAGAAGGGGCTGTGCCTGGAAAGAAAGCGTCAGAGGCCCCCTTCCCCCTACAGGGAGTCTGGGGGATCCTCAGAAACAGGAGGTGTAGAGATTTGCCGTTGGGGGAGGGGGCGGATTCTGTGCTTTGTTGCTGTTCTGTAAGAGGGAGAAAAGGCCGGCGGCAGGGGTCCTGGGGCTAGGGAGAACAGAACCCACAGACCCGAGGACAGAAACTACAGCCACTTAAAGCAACAACCAGTGAGTGCACAGGCGGTCATAAGCTAAGTCAGTCTTCAGAGACACTTCCCGGCACAGAGCCCTCTTTCCTGCTCCGTATTGGTCCCGACCGGAGCTCCTGAGCCAGAATCGGGTCTGGGACAAAGCTTTCGTGCTGAAAATTCTCCCGTTCGAGTTTCCAATCTCTTGCGTGGAGCTGCCTGGCAGATGAAGGCGAGGCGCCTGAGGTGGGGGTGCATCGCCTGGGGGCTGCCTCCCCACCCCCTCGTGCACGGCTACCCTAGAAGCACGCAGCGGGCCCGGGCCCGGCACACAGCAGGTGCCCAATAAACGTGTGATAAAGGGTGAACGAACCAAGTGATGGATGTCCCTCAAGAGTGGCCGCTGGAGAAGGTGGACAAGGGGCCTGGCAAGACACCCTCTTTCCACACCGGGGGTGGAAGCCCAGGAGGGAGAGATCCCAAGGGTGCTGGGAGAGGCTGCCTCCAGCCCAGCCCCTTGGAGAGCTCTCTCAGCAAATCCAGGTTCAGACTGGCCCCCAGCCAGCTGCCTTCGCTTTGACCGTGAGGCCTGCCTAGAACTAAAAGCTTGGTTTTCTCCCTCAGTGGTAGGGGTGGTGGGGACGGGGGACAGAGGCAAGGCAGGGGCCACCTCGGACCTCTTCCTGGAAGGCCCACCCACCCAATCAGGAGCCATTAGGTCCCGAAGGGCTCAGCCATCACACTGGCCTCATGGTCCACGCAGGGCTTGCCCACAGGCCTCTGGTTGTCCAGGGGTAGGGCCCCAGGGTCTGGGCTGGCCTCAGGGACCAGCAGCTCAGTGTCAGGTGACTCCGAGACCTCCGTGTCCAATGTTGGTCCCTCCTCCTCCTCCTCCTCTTCTTCTGCCTCCTCCAGAGTCAGCTCAAACTGGAACCTGTCGGGGCCACCCTGCTCGGGGCGGGTGAGATCCACAGGACTGCGGGGGATCTTGCTCTGGTACCACTCACGGTTGTCCTCCAGTGTATCCAACAGGTCCTGTGCGTCTGGGTGCACGAGATCAGCCCACGTCTCCCACAGTGGGTGTGCAATGTAATCAATGAAACCCACCTGTGGGTTGATACAGGGCAGGGAGGTGGGGAAGGTAGCTGTGGCGTGAGTCACCGTGGAACCTAGACCTGGTCCGGCCTCCAGGCCTCTGCCCTGCTTGTTCCCTCTGTCTGGAATGCCAGCTCCCAACTCCTACGCATCCTTCAAAACCCTCTTCAAACAGCCCCTCCTCTGGGAAACCGCTCCTGCCCCTTCTGGTCTCCCTCAACCCCTAAGTCTTTCTCCCTACCTCATCCCTGTCACCTCCCCTCAGGGCCGGATGTATGTGGCCCCCAGACTGGGAGCCCCTCCAGGTTCCCCCCGCCTCCACGGCACCCAAACAGGTACTTCCAAACTCCTCCCGCACGGATCCCTCCCCCCCTGCAACGGATCTCTCTCCCCGCAGTCCAGAGGGAATGCCTCCCGGGACTGACTCCACACAGCCCAGGGCAGACCTCACCCTTAGGCCACTTCCCCTCACTGGCCAGCTGTGGTCAAGCCAGGACTCCCGGGGTCGGCTCACCCAGCGTTTCCCTCCCCTATCCCCGGTGCCTGCTGGTGGCTCAGCCCAGGGGCCCTCACACCTGGGACTTCTCCACCGAGGCGGTGTGCTTGTCACACATGGGGCTGATATCCAGGCCTGATTCACGCTCCCGGTCGCCCTGCTGGAAGAACTCGGCCATGATGCGGTCGGTCCACCGGCGGTACAGCTCCAGCGGCTTGGTGGGGTTGCTGAGGTCGGCACAGTGTACCAGATTCTGCAAGACCTGGGGAGACCAAGGCTCGGGAGGGCTCGGGCCGGGCCACTCTCAGGCCTGGTAGCCTCCGCAAGAGGCTGGCGCCACGAACACCCCCATCTTACGGGTGGGGAAACTGAGGCCCGGGTGGGAAAGAATGGCCAAGGCATCGGCGTGTGGCTCTGGGTGCCTCTGTTTCTTCAAGCTGGCTGCACAGCCGGTGCTTCGTAAGCAAAGCTAGGTGAGAGCCGTGGAAACCGAGGCTCCAGGGCCCATCTGGACACACACCTGGATGCGGTCAGAATAGTTGTCCAACAGCAGGACTCCAAGGCTTGTCACCTTCTTGGTCTCCACCATGGTCTTGAGGTCGGCCAGGAGGTTCATGTGTTTGGACATGTCCGTGGCCAGCACCTGGGAGCAGACAAGATGACGAGGATGAGGACTGCGCCCGCCCCACCTTCCAGACCCCACGCCCACTCCGCTCCTTAGCCCTCTGAGCCTCAGGACCCTCATCTGTGAAATGGGGGGATGTCACAAGATTCACTGCAAACTCAGTTCACCAGAGGAGCTGAGTCAACGGTCCCTTCTCCAAGGTTGCTGGGTTCGTGAGGGTACGTCCCACCCATGGGACAGGGCACAGGGAGAGAAATTAAACTGGGGGCTGGGGTGCCCGAGGGCAGTGGTGAAGCCCAGCAGAGGGCATAGCCTGTGCAAAGGCCCTGGTGCTGGGTGAGCTGAGGAACACAGAGGAGGCAGTTGCGATGGCAGCTGAGGGGAGCAATGAGTCTCAGGGAGGAGTGGGGGATTTATTCAGAGGGCCACGGGAGCCACAGGTGGATCTGAAACCAGCAAGGACCTGCCTTTGGTGCCCCCCAACCCCCCTGTGGCCACCGTGCGGCCAGAAGGGCTGTTTTCAGACTTTTGGAGGGAAGTTCAGCTCTGAGCACAGCTGTTTCAACTTAACTGAAAAAAATAGTAATAATCAGTTTCACTGGACCCAAGCACAGCCAGCCCAGGAGTGATCCACACGCAGTGCGTGGGCTCCTCTGAGAATCAAAGAAAAATCTCAAAAGTTCTCCCCAAACCTCCCACCTGCCCGAAATTATGTTCCTACCAGGGGTACCTATTGCCCAAGGCCCCAAGTCAAGACCACCTCACCAAACTTTTAATTCTTGGTTTCCTCTGAGCTGTTCCCTCTGCTAGAAACACTCCTCCCTACCTCATGGCCGCCACACCCTGCGAGTCCTGCCAATTTCAGTGTTCCCTCCTGGGGAAGCCCTCCCCAACCTTGAGTACTCCCCTGCCTCCCCCCATCACGGCTCCATCTCTGGGTTCTCTCATCGTGGCTCTGCCTGTGGGTCCCTCTCCCTCACAGGCCATTGAGTCTCCTAAAGTCTCCTCCACAGGCCATTGAGTCTCCTACTGGTCATTGGCACAGGGCAAGCACACAAGAGGTGTCCAATAAACGCTTGTTAAATTAATGAAAGAGGGGCGCTTGGCTGGTTCAGTCTGCAGAGCATGCGACTCTTGATCCCAGGATCGTGAGTTCAAACCCCATGTTGGGCGTGGAGCCTACTTAATTAAAATAATAATAATAAGTAAAATAATTAACGAATGAGACACAAGACCCCAAAGCCTACTGCTGTCTTTTGATCTGAAAAATACCAAATGGACAGACTTATGGCTCAGCACAAAGTTGCACCTGGAACCCCAGAAACTCAGTTTATGAAACTCTGCCAGGATTTCATTCCCCCAACCAGGGGTCTGGTGACCCTCACCCAGGGCTTGGATGGTCGCTGCCCCATTTTACAGAGGAGGAAGCTCAGGTTCAGAGCGGAGACATGTCCAGGTCCAACCGAACCCCCAGCCAGGCCAAGATCACCCCCATCCCGTTCACAGCCGTGTCCTCACCATGTCGATGACCATCCTGCGCAGACTCAGCCGCTGCTTGGCACTGAGATTCTGGAAGATGTCACAGTTCTCTGCCTGCAGCAGCTTGAAGCCCACGGCCAGGTGGTGGTTCTCCAGCACGGAGGCATCGTTGTACATGAGCGCAAGCTCTGAGTCTGTGGGGGAGGCGGAGAGCCTCAAGACCTGTCCACCCACCACCTCCACCCAAAGGAGTTGGTAGGCAAACTCCTACTCGCGCACGAAGGCCCCAACTCTGATGCCCTCCGTTCCGCGAAGCCTTCTAGAATTCTGTCTTTCCCCCTAGCCCTGCCCTGACTGCAGGTCCGGGGACATCGGTGTTCAGATCTCCCTCCTCGAGACCGGGGACCCCTTGAGGCGTCGGTGTGGCAGGAGGCAGTGCGCACTGAGTGCCAGTTGAATGAACAACTGAGTCACCGTCTTACTGGACTCTGGGCTGGTTGAGTAAGAAGGCTCCACTCTCATCCCAGGCTCTCCAAGGATGTATACAAGAGGCACCCAGTAATTATCTGAGTTTTTCCGACATCTCAAAGGACCCTGAACTTTCAAACCTTTGTGGCCCCGGATCAGCTCTGCCACGTTTGTTATTGTCTCACGTATTGAGCACCTACTGCGTACCTGGAACTGCTCTGAGCACCAAAGGGAAGGACTGTCCCAGCCGTTTCACAAACGGGGAAATTAGGCTCAGAGCGGGAATGGGTGGGTCTGGGGCCAGGTGATTGACAGGTGGGGCCCCACCCCCGACTCACTGGTGTTAACGAGAAACTGGTTGGAGACCCCAGGGTGGTCCACGTCGTGGATGGCGCTTGCGAAGATAGCAGCCAGGACTTCCAGGTCTGTGAAAACGGCCTGGGCAGGCAGGAGGCGTGAGAAGTAGGGGGTGGGCTCCCTGCACCCTGCACCCACCCTGGCTGCCTCTACACTTAGGGTAGTACCTCAAGGGCAGGTGTGGCCAGCAGCACGTGCGTGGACTGAGCCACGTCGGCGGCGTGTAGGCTGTTGTGGTAGGCCACATCGGCATGGTAGTGACTCTCCAACGTCAGAAGGTAGGTGGCGAGTGTGTCTGCTGGGATCTGAAATGTCTTGAGCAGGTCTCGTTCCTGGTCCATCACAGGCCTCCAGTCAAGGCCTTGGCCTCTGGGGCAGCAGCATACACCGTTCCTATGCCTTCTCTCCTTCTGAGCTCCTATCCGTCCCTCAAGTGCCCCCTCTTCCAGGACGCCCTCCCTGCTCTCCCTCCGAACTCCCTTGGTCTCTGTCCTGCCCCTCTGGTCTATCCCTGACCTCACAAGCCTGGGGCTCTCTTCGTCCAGTCCTTCCCTCCAACCCTGAGTCTCTTCAGGGCCAGGCTCCGGGCGGAGGCTTGTTGCCAATGCATGTTTCCACCTAGTGAACTCCTATTCGTCCTTCAATACGCAGCTCGCATTATGCCATTCAGGGGGATCAGGGAGGACTTGAAGAATGAGTGTCCCCCGAGGCCTTGGGGTAGGAAGATGTGAAGGAAAGAAGCCCCAGTAGCGTTGGAAGCCAAGGGCGGGGAGGTACCTGAAAGATGTTGAACATGATGGTTGTAAGGGGCCGGTTCCCACTTAGCTCTGCCACCTTGAACACGTCGAGCCCCCATTTGTTGGTATCTTCCAGTTCCTAAAATGCGAAGAACTGAAGCTTAACTCCAGCCCAGCTTGCTCCGACTCTGGACCCTTGACATCCCCCACCGGGCCTCAGGTCCTATGCTGAGCCCGACCTGCCCAATCTACAGGTAGGCAAACTGAGGCCCAAGGTAGGGCATCCACACAGAGCCAGGACTCAACGGCAAGTCTCAGTATTCCAGTTGGGGACCCACCTTGGCCAGCTGCCCCTCCTGGTCAGTCTGGACCCCAAAGCGTGGGATGGTGGCTGCAGAGAGGCCGGCACTGTGGGGGAGCCCACGCAGGCTGCTGATCTGGGACATGGGCCTTGGGGTCTCCGTGGGGGTCACCCTGGGCAACTCCATCTCAGTCTGCTGGTCTGTAGATGGAGCAGGCCGGGGCTCAGGGAAACTGATTCACCTGCTGGGGTCATCCTGCCTCGCCTCAGGTCATGGACCTTGCCAAACCTCAGGATCAACCTATTTCTTTTTCATCTGGATCAAAGTGAGCTTGGAGTAAAGTCCCTATCGGGCCCGTAGCTCCCCTTCTCCGTTCATGGCTGATCTCAGTGACCTCTTCTGTTTGATAGTGCCCGTCGGCAACCAGGGCTCAGCATTTTCCCCCAAAAAGCCAAATGTGCTTTCCATCTCCCAAGGTGGAGACCCAGCTGTCTCGTTCACTCCCTGTCTCCCTTGGAAAACTTCTACTCGTGCTTCAAAACCCTAGCTTTAATATGCCCCTCCACCTAACAGTTCCTTCTGTTCCTCTCTCTGGAACAGCTCTGACCCATGGGGTTGGAAGTGCCCATGTCCAGCTCTGTCTCCCCAGGAGGCCTGTAAGAGAAGTCTTTTCTTTTTCTTGGTTCTTCCTACCTCTATTGTGTTGCTCAAGCAGTGACCCACCACAGCTCACCCAGGAAGGTTCGGGAGATGTACTCGGACACCTGGTTCCCAGAGCGGCTGGTTTCAGACAGGTGAGTTAATTCCCGGTTCAGCATCCGCTTGAACTGCAGGGGAAGGTGAGGACAGTGATGATGGGGGCACCGTGGCCAGAGGCAAACGATCTGGGCTATCTGGCCCTCCTCACCTTGTTGGAGGCCATCTCCCCCACTGAGTGCCGCGTCTGCAGTGTCTCCAGCTGATCCAGACACCAGTCCAGCTCGTCCAGTGTCTCCAGAGCCAGCTTCTGCCCAGTGTCCTCTGGGGGCCGAGCTGGTCAGGAGGCCTGCCTCACCCTCCCCCCTCCCCGCCTTGGGGACCCCGCATCCCTCATGCCACCTTCTCTTGCATCTGGACCCCAGAGCCCTTCCCAATAAGGCCACTCAGGACCTCAGGATCTGAGTGGTAGACATGTCCCCAAGTAGCTGTGTGACCACGGATGGGCAGGTCTCTGCCCCTCCCTGGGCCTCAGCCTCCCCATCTGTAATATGGGTATGGCAGACCCCACCCCCAAAGGTGTTCTGGAGATTACAATTAGCAAGTCCCTAAGGACTCATGGGCTGAGTAGGTCGCCATGGAGAGGAAGTTCACAGCCGTCCAGCTGCGGGAGGAAGGGGAAGGGGCAGGCACATTACCTGTAAGTGGAGGGGGCTGACTGCCAAATAGGGGGTTTTCGACCGATGCCTGCCTGCGGTACAGATGGCCTCCCTCACTCGTGGGCCCCGCCCCCACCCACCCCTTGCCCCGCCTCGCCCCGTCCCTCAGGTCGCGGGCCACCTTATTTCGGGTCAGGCCCCACCACAGCTTTCCACCTTCTTCAGTCCCTCGCCCTCTAGTCTCGCCTCCCCTCCTGCCCTTCCCTCCCGCAGGCCCCGCCCCGATGCCTGCCCGAGTTGGCCCCGTCTCTTTCTCGGCTTGACCCCGCCTCCGCCCCGCCCTCTGCCGTGGCTTGCCCCTGCGGCCTTGCAGGTGGGCATAGGGCTGCGATGCGTTCTACAACGTTCAGACTCTGCTAGGGACCTAAGTGGAAGGGGCGATCAGCGCTGGAAAGCGGGGGTCGGTTCTCCCCGCTTGGCCCAGGGGAGTGAGGGCAAATGGTGGGCACCCACCTGGGCAAAAGGCGTCGACATCATGTCTTCTCCGTGTCTGCGGGGGGGGGAGACGGGGCATCAGGAAGGGCGGCCAAGAGAAGCCCTCACGCTGGTTCCCATCTTCCAGCTTTTTATACATATATATGTATATATATATATATTTTAATGTTTATTTATTTTGGAGAGAGAGAGAGCGAACATTGGAGGGGTAGAGAGAGAGAGAGAGGGAGACAGAGGATCCAAAGCAGGGCCCCTATGCTGAGCAGCCTGATGTGGGGTCTGAACTCACCGCTGGGAAATCATGACCTGTGCTGAAGTCCGAGCTTAACCCGGACTGAGCCACCCGGGCCCCCCACACCCACCGCCTTCTTCCAGCTTTTACCCAGACTATGCCCTCTACTGAGTGTGACCTCCCCACATGACTCCACCTTTGGTCCCTATGCTCCCCTCACCTGACTAGTCTGAAAGCCACCAGAGTTCCTCTGACCAAGCCCCATCTCACAACTAGTGAACCATAAGGGCGTTAAGAGAGTCTAAGGCGGAAATTACCGTGTTTTTCTTTTTTCTTTTTTTTAATTTTATTTTTAAAAAAAATGTTTTTTCAATATATGAAATTTATTGTCAAATTGGTTTCCATACACCGTGTTTTTCTTTTCATTGTGGCTACCACGAAGCTCAAATCAAGGTGTTTGTTCGGTTGCTGTCATTGAACATCCCCGGATCGCCACCGAACTCCAGGCTAAAGTCAAGCACAGAGACTTACTGGGTATCATTCTCAGCATGCTCGACTGAATAAGGGAGCTGTCTGGAAAACACCTGCTTAAACTTCAAAGCCCAGCTCAAGTGACCACTCGAAGGAGGTTTGCTGAATGGAGACATTAAGGAAGGAGGGACGAACAAGGAGGTGTCATCCCATCAGTCTTGGACTCACAGATCACTAGCCACAGAGGAGTTCCGAGACATGGCCTTGGGTGAGAGGTCGTAGTCGCTGTCGGAGCGGTACAGGAAGGACTCTCGCCTCTGGCCGTGCTGAGCAGGCGCCTGGATGACCCGGCCAAGGCCAGGCCCGGCCTGAGGGTCCAGGGTGCTTCTCCCGCATGACAGTCCATTTTCCAGATCAAAGCTGAAGGCAGATTAGGCATGGTCAGTGCCGAGGGTCCTGGCATGTGGAGGCCCGGCTGTGGCCCACACCCGCTGTCACATCCTCCCTGGGGGGCCTCGGTGGGTTGGGCAGAATAGCCTCCGGCTTGTCTACCTCCCCACAGGCACACCCCTACTCAGGGACCGCGTGCCTCTCATTCCTCTGTCTCCACATCTGTACTCCGGAGCCTTTCCCACTGGGAGCAACCTGGACTCTGGGACATGGGTTTCGGATCTGTCCCCAAGTGACTGTGTGACCATGGGTAGGTTTCAGCCTTTCTCTGGACATCAGCCACTTGGCCTCTAACGTGGGCGTGGTATCTCCTTCCCCGAGGAGGCTTTTAGGGAGTTACAACAGAGGACCCGACGAGGGGCAACTGTGTAAATTAAGGTCGAGGTCCCATGGTAAGTTCACGGGGACTGGAAATGACTTCCTGGGTTTTCCCTTCTGGAGACCAGGGTCCTGCCTAGATCTGACACGCTCCAAGGCTCCCCCAGCCAGCTTAGGAGATGCTCCCATCACCTGTCCCCACCCCCAGCTCCCAGGCCCCAGCCCATTCCTTATGGCCCGGCCCCGATCTCCACGACCACGCCCCCAGCTCACTTGGCCTTGTCCTCAGTTTCCCCACTCGCCTGCTTCGTTTTAGGTCCAAACGCTCTGCCTGTTCTTTTCCACCTCCAGGCCTTTGCACAGGCTGTGCCCTCTGCCCGGAGCACCAACGTCCCTCCCTCGGGTGCCCCTTGTTTCGGATAATCCCCAATACCCCCTCCCAGCTGTCAGCCCTTGTGTCTCCATCATGCCACACTCTGACTGGGTAAGGGGAATCTACACCCCTACCCCTTGGGATTAGAGATAAGAGAAAAAGTGGGAGGGGCCCCGGGGAAACAGAAGTGTGGGAGAGGAGTTAGGACAGTGAGCAGTTAGCAACCAGGGAGAGTCGGGGCCATCTGTGTGTGGGTCATGGGCTTTTGAGAAGCGGGTAGGCAGGAGAAGCGAAGACAGGAAGACACCGGAGACCGCCCCAAACATGGGGCACCTGGCTAAGGGCCGGTGTCCGCTTCGTCCCCTGCGAAGGGACCCCATCCCAGACCACCGGCCAGGATCAGCACCGGCCTGAAGATTCTGAGCAGGGGATTCGGCTCAGACCGTGGTGGGGGTGGGGGATTCGACAGGATTCTGTCCAGTTCGGCCGGATTCGGTCTGAGTCGGTCAAGTACAGCCAGGTTTGACCTGAGTTAGGTCTTATCACACAGGTTTGGGCCTGGTCCAGATAGGTTCGGTCGGGTGAATTCGGTAAGATTCGGATACGTCCGACCGCGCTCGGGAAGGTTCGGCTACATTCGGTCATGCTCGCCTAAATCCGGCAGCGCTAGGTTTCCGAGCAAGTCCGGGTGGCCCTCGACCCGAGTCGGGCGTATTCGGCTTCGTCCGGCCTCACTCGGGTGAATTCGGGCATATTCGGCTATGTCGGCAGCTCTCGGCCTTTTCGAGTTCGCCGCCTCCCTGAGAATCCCCAGGCTGCTGGGACCTCCGAGCTCCCGCTTCGTGACGTCACCCTTAGGGGCGGGGCTTCTTAACCCTACCCTGCCCAGGCCGGGGCTTGGTGGCGGGCAGCGAAACACTCTGGAGGGCTAGCGGCCCTCGGAGGGGGGAGTCCTGCCCTCGGAGGGGGGAGTCCTGGGGGTGGTGCACCTCTACCCCTTCCTTGCCTCTCCTCAAATGTTCTGGAAGAGCAAATCAATGGATCAAGAGGGCAACTGAGGCCAGGAGAGGCAACAGGGTGCTGGATTCGCATCCAAGTAATAGGTGCAGAGGGTTAAGGGCTGGGCCGGGATTTTCGCGCCGCGAGAAAAGCTGTTTTTCTTTCTGCTCTAAACTTAGCCCGGAGCGGCGGGGTCAGACCGTGATTCCATGACGCGGGCGGCGCGGAGCGAGGTCGCCTGGACTATGAGAATCGCGCGTCTTAGGTAAACTGAGGCAAGAGGGCCTCGGAGGAACCCACCCTCCTCTAGTCTCACCTTCTGGGACTGGTGGCTCTCCCTCAACGCCTTTGAGCTCTCTCCCGGGAGGACCTCTCTCCCTCCGCAGGGACCCCTCTTCGCGGGCGTCTGGTGCCCTGGGGACGCTCTCCGGGATCTGGGACACCCCTCCAACCCCTCCGGGGCTGAAATGGAGCCATCAAGGACCACGGTCACGACTCCCTCCACCCTGCCAGCTGTCGCTGGCCGTGTGACCTTGGTGAAGGGACCTCCAGTCCCTGAGCCGCCAGGTGCCAAATTATCAAGTGAGTACTAACGCGGCACGAATCCAGCGCAAGGCGCCAAACGCGGTCCGCGCCCACAAGCCCCACCTCCCGCCCCAGCCTCGCCCCCGAGCCCCACGAGGTCACAGCTTCCTGAAGGGGTCGGGGTTCGAACCCGGAGCAGTGGGTCGGGTCTTTGTAGGACGCGTGTGGGGCTGCGCGGAGCCAATGCTCTGCGAGGGCAGGTCCGCTTTCACCGTGGGACACACAACTCGCCCGCTTACGCTGCGAACGCCCTGTTTCGAAGGCCCCGTCAAATCGGGTCTTCATCTGTAGACACCGAAGGCTCGGTGTGAGCCAGCCCCCGCCCTCCCCGGGGGCCATCTGGTCGCTGGCTCCGGGACCCGACTGGGGAGCGAGACCAAGGGGAGGAGTCATTTCCTCCTCCCCTCCCCGCCAGGGCGTTCAGCCCGCCTGCCCCGGCCGACGAGGGTCAGGAGGAGACGTGAGCCTCAGCCCGTCCGGCTCGGGGCTGCACATCTGGAAAGGGACAGACGCTGGTCCCCAGGGCATGTGGACAGGCAGCGGGTGGAGGGAGACAGAAATGGAGAAAGAGTCTCCAAGTACGAGAGACCGAGAGCGGGCAGAGGGAGAGAGATCCCGAGAAAGAGAGGGAGGGGCAGAGCATCCCTACCCGGATTCCCCACCCGGCTCCAGCTGTCCCTGACTCTGCCCTTCCCACCTCCAGCCTGGCGGTTCTGGCGACCCCCGCCAGGCCCTCCTTCTCGCCTCACCACAGCGGATGGGCCACAGTGAAGCGCCGCTGCAGGCGGATACTCTGGTTCACCAGGAGCTTCCGGAAGAGCCCGGGGGAGCCGCGAGGGGAGCCCCGGGGAGAGCCGGGCCCGGGGGCCGGGGCGGGCGCGGGGGGTCCCTGCATCGCCAAGACCGCATGGAGGCTGCACCCAGCGCGGGCTGCGCGGGACCTTTTCTGGACAGCCGCGGGGGCGGGGCCCGGCGGGGAGGGGGCAGAGGGCGCACTTGGCCCCGCCTCGCCGCGGGACCTCTCCTTGATGCCCCCACCGGGACCAATGGGGGAAACTGAGGCACTGAGCTGGACGCGACTCTCTGCTCCCTCCCTTTGGGGGTGGTCCCGTGGGTCCCAGAACCCGGATCTTACGCCACTTCTCTCTGCCTAAATGTCCCTAACTAGAGCAGCTTCTGGGGTTGATAACTTGGCTGAAAAGAGTGAAATGCGGAAGTCAGTAAGGGAAGCGTCCCCCTTTGTGAGAGGGTCACAGAGGCACGGAGTTTACCGAGGGGCTGCCCGCGTCTCACACAGGGCTTCCAGTGCCCCTCTGCCCATTTCCCATATGGAGACAATGAGGCCTGGAGCCACTCGGCGCTGCCCAGAAACCACAGACCCTTAACCCTTTGCCAGGTGGAGAAACTGAGGCTTGGAGGGAGGTAGTAACAGGCACAAGGCTTTGCTGCAGGGCAGCGGGGTTCAAACCCAGCTCCCCCTCTCTGAGTCCCCCTCCACTAGGCCCCGCATGACCCCCACCCACTCTGACATTCCCCAGGCCCCGTCTCTGGATCCTTTCCTCTCTTTTGCTGTTCCTACTAGACAAACATCCGCACTCCACTCTCGCCAGGTCTTCCGTCTGTGAAGCATCAACTGCCTTTCCTCTGCCCCAGGAGGGACCCCAGGGGGCCTGGAAAGGGAGGTGTGTGTCTGGGGGTTTCCAGGGGTCTGTAGCAGGTGCTCTATCCTCTGAATGCTGGCATTGGGATGGCCCTGCCCCATTCCATAGGAAAGGAAACCAAGTCTCAGGGTATCACACTCGGAGGCAGGACCTCGAATGCCCATGTTTTAGGCAGAGGCAGCTCTAAAGGCATCTGTGTCCCTGCTGTGGGATGACACCCCCTCCCCCGCCTGGGCTTTGCCCCGGGGGACTTCATGAGTTTTGGGGTCCTTAGACAAACAGCACCCCCGTTTCTGGCACTCCTAGGGGAATGTGAGATACAATGGGGGTGATTAGAGCTTCAGCGGGGACACCTGAGGTGCTACAGGCAGGAGAACTCTGACTCTCTCCTGACTCCCAACCATCGTGTTGTCCCCATTGTGCAGGTGAGAAAACGGAGGCTCAGAGAAGTAGGGTCCCGCTGGGGCTCAGGAGTGCAGAGAGTCTCAAGGACCTGGCTGGGAACCCCCTCCTGCTCCCATGGCCCTGCAACCGGACACCTGGTGGGAACCAGACTTGCTGTCCCAACGACAAAAATACCATCTGTAGCTACTGTGGCTGGACCTAATTATAGCCGGTCCCCAGGGGATAGAGGCCGCCAGGATCAGCCTGGTGGAGGCACTGGGGACAGGGTCAGGGGAGCCTTGATATCACCTCGGGCCCCGTGGGAGGGGCTTGGAATTGCCTGGTGTCCCCAAGGAGAAACTGAGGCACGGGGAGACTCGGTCCCTCCCCAGAAGTCACAGACATGAAATGGAGAGCTAAGACGAAACGCATCGACACAAACTGCTTCCTACTAGCCTGGAGCTGAGCCAAGGGCTGTGCATGTAAAAGTCATTTGATTTTCAGAGCAAACTCTACAAAGTGGGGACTATCGTGCTCATTTTGCCGATGGGGAAATCGAGGCACAGAGAGGCGGTGTTCACTTGTCTGGGGGAGTGGTAGGGCCAGGGTCATTCAAGCCGAGGCAGGAGGGCTCCCTAGCTTGTGCCCTC